TCCTATTGGAAATTTCAGATTTATTATTTTAATTTTTAATAGACTAAATTTTCATATTGCAGAGAGACTAAGATGCCATTCAACTTGTTCTCCCTTAGTGCTTTTCTCTGATCATCAGGTGTCATTCTCTGTATCCTCAGTAATTTATCCACAATATTTCTCTTAACATTTTTCTAGTAAATGGTAATTAGTAAGAAGTGCGAGGGTGAGCCTTGGTACCATGGTAAGATTGCTGCCTTGTGGCCCAGGGTTGAAATCCTAGAAAAGCCTCGCTACTTGCAAGGATAAGCCTCTCTACAACCCCCAAACCTCACTAGGCGAGAGCCTCATACACAGGGTAATTTGTAAGAAATACATTTGAAAGTGGTAGTAGATAATCTTCTAATTAAATCTAAGATCTTGACAATGTTGGCCCATTCATGATACACATCTATCATTTTCCTCGACATTCTTTAACAATATGGGTACCAGCTGTTTGCCAAAGTTTCATACATAACATTGTGGTAGATGTCTTTGGGTAAGGTACCAATTTATAGCATTTGGATGGATCATCCTCAGCGCAATTGTTCAATAAATTGAAGATGGGGTCTTGCAAAATACCTTGAGTGCTGATCGTGCTTTGATGCAGCAAACTAGCATGTATTATATCTATTCTAAATCAACAGATTCAACACCAATCAGAATGTTGACATTGCCTTGGTCTATACCTGATATGCCTTGAATAGATGGATATGCCTGCTACCGAAGAGATGAACTTGTGCATGGGTTTCCTGACCAGAGGTCTCATTATGCCCACGTCTCCTGCAAATTTAGATTTGAGACTGGCCATTGCCCCTTTTAAGGTTCAGTGCCACCTTTTAAGGCAGCAAAGGGGAAAGAAAATCTGTTCTTGTAATATTTTGTATTCTCATTTGTGCTTATTGAATGATTTATTAGGAAATGAAACCACAATCTGTAACTTACTCTACGATCGGAAAGTCATGCTCCTCAATTTTCTCCTGTATGAGTCTTTTTTTTTTTTTTTTTTAAACTTCTTTTTAGTGCACAAATGTTGGGTGCCATTCGGCTTTCATGGGATTAAGCGTTGACTTTATGCATAAAGTTTAGTTCTTGAGGCGTTCTCTGTAGAAGAAAATGATCTCAGTATGAATTTTGATAAAGACGAGATCAAGCTTCAAGGGAGTAATCTCGATAAAATCTTAGTTCGTTTCTTTAATAGGGAGTGATGCAGACTCTTTAAATAATTATTGTTTTGGCTCTTAAAACGTAAAATCAACCATTTCAGATGGCTATAAAGTTAGTTATAGTTGATTTAGTAGGTAGAAGAATGTTTGCAATATACTCTTTATCATTGTTTAAAATTTATTAAAAATTATTAAAGTATGAAAGACAAATATTAATTTAAGAGTGAAAAAAATTAATATTTATATAATTTTTGTATTTAATAATAAATTTTAGCGAATAAAAAAATGGTAGAGAATGTGTTAACATAGATTAAAAGTTTTAAAATGTTAAACATGTATTCTATTATAGCATTTAATACTTTCAATATTTTTTTATAAAAAAATAAATAATAAATTTATTAAGACTAATAAAAAATAATTATATATTGTAAATTTATAGCATATTTTAAAAATACTAATAGTCATAAATGGTTAAATTGGTGTTTTATGCATTAAATGAATGAATGTATTTATTTATATGGATAATGAGTGAATACTTTGTTAATATAAATTTTAGAACAAATAAGAGTATAAATTTTTTTCCAATTAATACATTTGAAAATGAGTTTGTTATAATTTACATAAAAAATTAGTTATTTTCTATAAATAGAATTGGAATAGTAGTTTATAAGAAAATAGTTTACTAATTGGTTCTTGATTACTTGTTCGTATATCAATTCTTGAATATTTTTGTGAATCAAAATAATTAATTACTAGTTAAAAATAATTGATTAAGTTCAAATAATCAATTAATCACTTAAAATAATTTATTAAAGGTCATTTCTCTCACTGAATAAAATGTTGAACTCTAACAAAATTAAATACTCTTAACTGATCTTGTTGCTATTGATTGTATCCTTACATATATATGAATATTTGAGATGTGGAAATAAAACAAGAAAATATAAAACTAAAATCTTCAAAGCTTTATCTATTATGAAAGCTAGTTCTTGAATATTTATAAATTGATCAATGCAAGAAATTGTAGGTCTTCAAATCTTATTATTATGAATTTAATATCATATAATTTCACTCAGCATTGCTACATCTATTACTGGTTTTGATTTTTGAAAATATTTATTCATTTGTTTTGAAAATTCCAAAGATTCTCAATAAAATTTAAATCTCCCCTCAGTTAAAACAATTTGGTTGATATTCGCCAACTCAGCATGCACATAGTTGCTTTGTTACTACCCGATTTCTCTATTATTTCTTTGTCTTTCTTATGATTTTATTGGATGATGTGGCTGTTCCAGAGATCTAATTGGTGCTACTTTGATTGAATGTTATCCCTCGTATACCTCATCAATTACAAGAATTTATAAAAATATTTACTCTTCTTCCTTTTCTTTCAAAATATTCAACAAAACATAAAAAATTTATAAAAATGTATTCTTTTCCCTTCATTTTCCTCCACCTATATACTATATTAAAGTGAAGGATTAACCATTGAAATTGTAATTAACTTTAAACTTTGTTTACACATACTGGATTTTATTGCAATCTTCAAGTGTTGATTTGTTTTAACAAACAATTTTGTAAGATTATTTATTTAAAAAATATAAGAGTTTTGTAAAATATTTTATATCTTAACACATTCTAAAACTAAAGAGAAAATAAAAAAATTTAAAAATAATTAAATTTAATAAATTTTGATTCATACTCTTAGTATTTCTCAGTGCAATGGAAAAATACAAAACTACAAAATTCTAAAAGAAAACTTTTTTAAGGTGCAAAACTAAAAATAAAAATCTTATTAAAAGGTTGTAAGAAAAATTAAAAGTAAAACCTTTTTAAAAAAGAAATATTAGAATTAAAATAAACTATTTAAAGGTACTAAAATAATTTGGAGAAAGGTATTTTTATGTCTTTAATTTTTTTAAAATAAAATATAAAATATAAAATTTCATCTTTTAATTTATATGAATTTAAAAAAAAAATTTATAACTATATAACATGTAAATAATAGAATAATTTATATATCATTTTGTGAATTTTAATTTTAATTTTAAGTAGGAAGAGGTAAGAAAATATTTAATTTTTAAAAATAAAATAAAATGTACAATAATTCAAATGTACAAGATATTATATAATGTACTTAAACTATTACTCTTTACGAATGATAAAATAATGTATTATTATTATTATTATAAATTGTTATATGAATAAAGATTAAAACATATTCTATAAAAAAAAGATTGAAACAAATTATTTGTCCATTTTATTTTAAAAATAAAAACATAAGAGTTTATAATTTATAATCATTTATATTTTATGAGAAAAGTTTACGTATTTAACTTTTAATACACAAATCATAAAAATAATTTATACATTGTTTTTGCAAAGATAATTGACTAAGTTTTAAATTTTGTTTCAAAATTATTTTTGTGAGAAATAAGTAGATTTATTGTACTTAATGGAATATAATTTCAAAATTTATTACTCAACGAAAAAATCTAGTATGTCATATACAAATTAATGTTTAATTATTCTTTTTACTTATTATTATTGTTGATGATAAGTATGACTAAATTGGATTTGAATTACAAAAATAATTTCAAATTCAATCCCTTAAGTTAAGTTGAATTTTATATTTACTGTATACCAAAAATAAAAGAAATATAGCATACTTTTTAAAAAATATATCTATAATTCAAATCTAATTTGTTAATCAAGAAACTATTTGTGATTTTATCTTAGTAAACCTAAGCCATATAAACTACTAAATGCAAGCTTAATAGGTCCCAAAAAGGAAAATCTAAATCAATTATGTTCCATTTTCAAAAAGGAAAATCATAAAAGGAAGGAGAGTAGAATACTACTATCTATGATGTTAAGATAACAGAGATGAAAGAGAGAAAATTTAAAATCAAAATTCATTTGCCACTTTTCTCCTTGTCCATTTTTTATTTATTTATGGTAATGGTTCACATACTCCTACCAAGATAATGAAGAGAAACAATGGCTTTCAATGATTCTTAAATGGATCAATTATATTAAAAAAATCACGATGTAATATACACACTAAATATGGGAAAGAAACTTCAAACAGAAAAATAAAAGAAAATTATAAACCACCAACCAGAAATATGAACCAAGTGAAGCGGGAAAAAAAAAAATGAACCCAAACTCCATTAGCTTAGTAACCAAGAAGAATGTGTGATGGCCAGCGAAGATCAAGGTAATTCTCAAGAATGCTAGTGAGAAAAGATTTTTGGTGTATATGTATAAATGTCGATAAGAGTGGAGAAAAAAGAATTTGTCAATACTTCCCTCAAGAGATCAAATTCTTTTACACATGTAAAAATCCGTTTAACCAAAAAAGAGTAAATATATAATTACTTAAACAAGATAAAATTTGCTTAAGAAAAATAAAACACACTTAAACAAAATTTAAAATGCAAACAAATGAAAATTAGTTTGAGCCACTCAAAATTCACTCAAGCAATTTTTTTTTTCTTTGTTTTCATTCTTGTTTTCGTTTTTATTATTATATTTATTTTATTCTTATTATTTATATTTATTATTTTATTATGTATATATATTATTTTAAATTTTAGTTTAAATAGAAGTAGAACTGTACAAAATTAAGTGTTCACACTGTTTGGAACATTAATGCATGTGTACAACCACCTTTGACAGTAGAAGTAAAACAACAGATTGAACAAGTATTTGAGATTTGTGAAATTTCACAGGTACACAAAAAGGAGTTGGAAGTAGGTAATTTTTCACAAAGTGAAATTCCACCTGGTATTGTAGTTCAGTGTGCAATGATTAACGGCTCATAAGTATCCAAGTCTTTCATTGTAAATTGGGATATACATATTTGAAGCAAGTAAATCTATGCTTGAAATGTAGCTATCCTTTGTTAAATAAGATGATGCTTCTAAATTCTCTAAAACATCTTGTCAAACTTAATGTAAATTTCATTTGATTGTTGATGAGTTACATCATCAACTGCAAAGACATGAATCTGCTTATCTAACCCCAACTCCATCCTACAAATGTTCTTATTCTCCTTTGTTGCGTAAGCCTTCTGACTTCAGCTACTTCATTCCATAAACCTTTTCTGGCATAGATATGTGCTAGTGTTAAATATGGTGCTGCATTACACGGTTCCATCTTAATGAGCTGATCAGCAGCCTCCCTCCCAAGTTCTATATCTCCATAAATCTTACAAGAACTCAAGAAGGAACTCCATATAACATTATTCGGATCATAAGGCATTTCTTCCATTAGATCCCTTGCCTTTCTTAGATTTCCATTTCTAGCATAAAGATCAATCAAGCAAGCATATTGATCTATATCAGGAGACAAGCCAAAACTTGTTCTCATTTTATTAAAGTATTCCACCCCTTTGTCAAGAAATCCTGCATGATTACAAGCTGTTAAGACAGCAGTAAAGCAGATATTATCAGGACTTAACTCTTTCTTGGTCAATAAACAATCAAAAAGTTCCAAAGCTTCTGAACCTCTCCCACATTGTGCATAGCCCATGATCATCGATGTCCACAACACATTATTCTTCCTAGAAGTCTGATCTAACACACATCGGGCCTCATCAATATCGCCAACCTTTGAATACATATCAATCAAAGCACTGGCCACAAACACGTTCCTTTCAGAACCCATTTTAATAACAACAGTGTATTTGTCTTCCTTGGAAGAGCAATGCAAGGATGCTGCAAGCATTTAACACTGTACATAAAGTATGATCAGTAGGACTCAGATTCTTTTTCCTCATTTCTACAAATAGTTTCAGTGCATCTTCACCGTACAAATTTTGAGAATATCCAGAGATCATAGAATTGTATACAACAGCATCCTTCTCACTAGTTTCATCAAATAATAATACAGAATCATTAATTTGTTCCCAATTTGCATAACAATCAACTAATGAGCTGACCACAAAATTGTTAGTATCAAATCCCCTTTTGATGACATGACCATGAAGACTTGAACAATTTTTAAGTGTCCCATTATGCCCCACACAGGCACTAATGACACTAGCAAAGGTAAAACAATTAGGCTTAATTGGGGTGCATAACATCTCTTTGAACAACAAGAAGGCATCTCTTCCTTGTCCATTCATTGAGAATCCGGCAATAAGTGAAGTCCATGACACCTGATCATGTACTTTCATGCCACTAAATACCTTCTTTGCATCCACAATAACGAAACATTTTGCATAGAAATCAACAAGTGCACTACTAAGGAACAAATTATCTTCATATCCAGATCGAATCATATAAGCATGTATTTGAATACCCAAATGCCAATTCATGGTTTTTGCACTAGAACTAAGTGCAGTACAAAGAAAAAACTTAGTTGGCTTCCCCATTAATGTATTCATACTGCTTACGGACTCCAGTGCTCTGCAGGTACTTGCATTTTTAGAATGCTTCCTAAGGTAATCGACTACACATGTTTTACCAAAGAATTTCTGCATCAAAGCATCAGCAAAGTAACGTTTAGGAAATGCACCATACCACATTGTGTAAACCTCAATCGTGTGCTGAATGTTAATAAATAAATGTCTCGCAGGGATTGTGTAACACTAACATCGAATTCTAGCAACTAAAATGTCTGGGCACATGAGATCATTGGCAAGCAAAATGATCACAAAATCCAGAAAACCAACCAATCACCTTGATGTCTACACATTTGAGCAACTGAAAAACAGTAGAGTTATCAAATAGCCAGACCAGATCAGACACGTCCTAACCCTGACCCATATGGGTTAGGGGGAAAAAAACCCCACTAATCAATTTGCCTTTCAACAATAGGATCTAAATAATAAATTTTATATTATAATTCTGAGTGTTCAGTTTTTAATATATGTATTTTTTTTATCATACTTTTTTCTTCTTTCGTAAGTTATTAATTTAATATATATATATATATATATATATATATGAAGATTTTTTAAATTTTAATTTTAATTTTTTTGTTTCAAATCTCATCGGCACATATTTTTAAATTATTTTTTCCTAAACTGTTAATATATATATATATATATATATATATATATATATATATATATATATATATATATATATATATATATATGTATGGCCAAGTCTAAGGCATATCAGTTGAAGTAAATTCTTCTTTTTGATCAATCAAAATCCCTTCCCAAATTGTACAAGTTTCTTCCAAATATATATAGGGGCGCACACACTTTTCTTTTGAATTTTAACTCAATGAAAAACTCGAGATTTTGGTGGAAAATTATTTGATTAACCTTCCTTTCAACCACATACTTTTTTATTTAAATATTATAAACATCAAAACAAATTCTTAATATATGTTTAATATAATAAAATATTTATGGTTAATAATTGTAATATTTGTTTTTTAAAATTTCTAAAATATATTAAATTTAAAAATATTAATGTAATATAAGAAAAATTTAATAGTAATTTGTATATAAATATAAAAAATATTTTTTTGTATTATGTTACTATTTTTTTAAATTTTTAATGTAATCATAATTGGTATTAAAATTATGTTAGTGATTTAAATTTATTAAATTAAGATGTAATTTGAATTTATATTTAAATAAAAAAAATATTTTTTTACGGAATGTTAGTAATTTGATCTTTATTTTAAATGTAGTAATGATTTGTATATAAATCTAAATCAAATTTGGTTTGATTATGTTATTAAAATTAATAAAGATAAATTCTCGTAATAGCCTAAAATTGTGACAGGTGTCAAATTCTTGTAAGTTGTGCAATTTTTATGGTAAAACTCACTCAGATTGTGACACGTATCACATGAGAGTTTCGCACTGTGTATGGTGAAATTAGTATTTAATTTCACCGATTATATTGCAAAATTTGTAAATATTAACACATATCACAATCTAATTATTTCGCATTTTTGTGACGAAATTTATTTAAAAATTAAATAAAAATTTAATATTTTTGTCAACTGCATTGGCAAAACTAGTGCCATGTAGACTGACACACTCAGACAGGAAAATAATTTTTAAAAAAAATTATATATTAAGAATTTGTTTTTAAGTTTATAATATTTAAATAAAAAAATCTTCAAAAATCCTAATATTGCCCGAACTCTTTTATTCTATTGATTCTTTCCAAACAGAATCCAATATCTCTAACCTAGAGTAATAATTTTTTTCTTTTACAGGGATATAACATTTACTGGAATTTTCATTAATTCAAACTCTGAATGGAAGAGAGAATTCAAAAACCAAATGTGAAGACAGAACGATTTGTAGTTAGAATTTAGAAGTCGAGATTGGCGAGGCAAATATAGCTACTTCTGAGGTGAAAACCCTAATGAGGGAGAAGTTTAACAAGATCGAAAGAGACATGAAAATGAACAGAAAACAATGAAAATGAGGAATGCAAAGCAGCGAGAAAGGAATTGGAAAATAAACAGCGCACCTGACAGCGGGTGAAAAGAGGTTTTGGGACTGTCCCCTTATCTATTACTTGGATACCACGTCAATCCACAAGCCTTCGATTTGCAAGTGCGCTAGAAAAGAAAAAAAAGACTTCAAATGGATGGTAAAGGAAAAATAATAATAAAGGTTGATTTTTAATTTAAATTTTTTTAAGTAATAGTTATTGTCAGATAAACTTTTTCTTTTTAAAAATTAACTCTCAAATAAAAATAAAAAATAATCGTGAAACACTTCTGAATTATGTATTACTTTATTTCTTTATTATTACACTTTTTTTTACTCATATTTAAACAAAATTTTAAATTTAATTCTCATTGCCACAGTTAACAATTACTTTTATTAACACTTATATTATATTATTGTATGGAAAATAATTTGTTAGAAAAGATTTTACGTATTCCAATAATATTATTGTCTCAAAAAGATTAAAAAACAGTAGTCATCAACTAAAAGACATCCTTCATACAAAAATAGTTATATTATTATAATTTACAATTTTTCTTGCATTTATTTTAATATTATTGTCTTTGTTTATTTCACAATTCTGTTCTATAAATATGATCATGTATATAATATTTTAAATTGTTTTGTTAAGACAATTTTAATAATTATAATATATTATCATATGATATAAAATTTATAGTAAGTTATCCTCAAAGCTATTACAAAAACAAAACAATAATAACTAGGAAAAAATTGTAGGTACTTGAGAGGAAGTTACTTTCACAATCTAGAATATTAGCGTTTGATTTTTTTTTTAGTCTCTTTAATTTACATTATAAACAATTTTAATCTCTTAAATTTTTTTTAATTGATTAAATCTTATTTTTAAAATTAAACAAATTTAATTGTTCTATTAATTTTTAACTTAAATCCCTCATTTTTTTTCTATTAAAATATTGGTGAACTTGAATTACGCTACAAGTTTATTTCAATTAAAGATGATATTTTGATAGATGGTAATTAAAACATAAAAAAGTATAGTACAATTTATTTAATTCATTTTGTAAAGATTTTGAGTATAAAAATGATAATTTAAAGCTTTCAAGTGGAAAAATTGACAAAGAAACTAAATTTACTTAATTTAATAATAAAACTTGATTGACTTAAAAATAATTTAAACCAGAAAAAGCACATATAATTGTATAATCACATTTTACAAAGGAAAAATCGAAGTTTTATCATTCCACGCGGACGGATTGCTGAATCTTGTCAACTCCAGACGGTTTCATAGTTATCCAAAGTACAATTGACAGCACTACAAAATATCTCACTTTATAATAGTTAGCTAGAAAAAATTAATTGGATATTAAAATTATATACAGGGTGAAGCATTGTATCTAAGCGTTAGCAAAAAAAACTAAAGCCTTTTCTCATCACCAGGTAGGCAATTATCCTCATGATTGCTTGTTCCTTCAAGCCACTCCTCCAGCTCAGCTTGTTTGCTAGCTTTGAAGTCATCATATTTTTCTGATACTGACAATAACTTATTCCCAATATCACTAGTATCACTTAGTTCAAGTTGAGATTCATCTTCAACTTGGCTTGACTGTGGCTGTTGTTTGTCCGCTTCCATTCCCTGTGAAGATGTAGCAGTGTTTGCTGATGGGTCCGACGGCGGCACATTACAGTATGGCTGTGGCATCTCAGTCTTGGAATTTACTGATACCGCAGAATCAAGTTGTGGCCACTTGGAATTGTTGGTCTTCTGTTTTGAGAACTTAAAAACACTTGAAAAATAGTTACTCATTTTTTCACTACCCTCCTGGGCATATACTGCTGATTTGCCCCATGATCTACTACTCTCAGTCTGAAAATTTGATGCCGACCGATGAATTACCCTTTTTTCGGTTGCTTTGATGTCATGGTTTCCAAGGATTTTTTTTATGTCTCCAATCATCTCATCAGCTATGGGAAATCCAGACTCATTCATTGATCTCACTACTGTGACAGAGTCCTCCAAATCTTCTGTGTGCAATGCTGTTTCATGAGACTTCTCAATAACATCGTTATTTAGTTTGATGATATTCGGCACTGCATTTTGAGTGTGCTGTTGGATAAAGAAAAGACCAACAGACGGTTCGTTAGCCAGGTATTTAATCATCTCTGCCAGACAGTCACTTATCTCCACAAAACCATCAACCGTGGAGAATCCATGCATCTTCCCAATGTCAAGTATTGTTCATCCCTGACAACGTTCATGAAAGAAACACAGTCAGATAAATTATAGCAGAGGAAATTAAGTAGGGCAAAATGTGCAATCAGCATTTGCTAATGTAATAGGAGGCTAATTTACATAACCACTAAATGGATGCATTTCATTCTAAGTCTGTCCTAAATCCTAGAGTGCTGTAGCCTTTAGTAGATTACCAACTTCAATAAAATGGACCCCATCGAACTTGTCTGCAGTACTTCTGATATGCAGCATCAGACAGAACACGGGTAATATCTTTTTTAGATAATATGTTAATCTTTGCACTTTTCCCTTTCATCAATGGTTGGCATGGAAATTAAAGTTTTAAACATTTTGGTTAAATAATGCAATAGTAGTATTGGATAATTGCTCTTGTATAGAGGATTGGAGAACCCCTTGTGCTCCCTTTCAATAATACTTCTTTGCTGATAAAAATAACTGCAATAGAGGATCTGAGACCAAGGTTATAAGTTGTAGCAGACATCACATTGCTATTGTTGATATGTAGATTCAGTAATTAGGAGCATAATATCATAATTATGTTTAATACAGTAATTAAGAACATAATAACAAGATTACATTTATTATCAAAATATTTTACAATTAATATAGATCCTTGTCCACTTGTATAATTTAGACCTTTGGGTCAGACAAGAGACAACAATATTCAAACACTTCTTCTAACCTCCATTGCTACCTTGTTTTTGCAGACCTCAGGTTCTTTGAGAGTCATCCCTTCTTCTCCCCTCTTTTTGTTACTGTTGACCATTTGGACTCCATTCCCTCGAGTTTTTTTTTTTTTTTTTTTCTCTTTTCCTCAATCTGTTCCAGCTCCCATTCTCTCTACTCCTCCTCCTCTTCTATCCTACCATAGGAGGAATCGCACAAATTCTAAGTTACAACAATTGAAGCTTAATCCTCCAAATTCATCTACTACTTCAACCGTTTCTATGTTTCTATCTCCTGAACAACTCCTTGCTTCGAGTAAAGATGTCCTCTCATAATCCTAATCCTATTTATGTTTGTCACTTGAATTATAATTGCATATCTCTTTCTTGTTCTGCTTTTGTTTCCTCTTCGGATTCTATGTCTATACCTCAGAATACAAATGGGTCTTGTCTGATCTAGGATGGAGACAAGTAAGGGTGGATAAAACTATCGCCTTACATTCTAATGGCACTTGAGATTTAGTTTCCCTCCCTCCAGGTAAGACTACTGTTGGATGCCAGTGGATATATGTCAACATTGGACATGATGGAAAGGTAGATCGTTTAAAAGCAAGATTAGTGGTCAAGGGCAACACTCACATATTTGGTCTTGAATATGGAGATACTTTCTCTTCCATGGCATGATTGCTTTTGTTTGTATCTTTTTAGCTCTTGCTACCATTTATCAATGACTCCTTCATCAATTAGATATCAAGAATACTTTTCTTCACGAAGAGTTACAAGAAGTTTATATAGATTAGCGTCTTGGCTTCATTACACACGAAGCATCTACTTCAGCAATCTTCACGTGCTTGGTTCAACTACTTTAGTTCATGTCTTATGTTCGGAGGGCAAGTGTACCCACAAAAAGTAATGAAGGGTTCTTAAATTAAGTTCCCGAAATATCGTCTCACAAAGATTAATTTTCAATTACTAAGAATTTTCTAATTTAATTGTTTAAGCTTCAAAGATACAAGATTAATTAAAAACAAGAATTTATAAAATCAATTATAAAACTAAGAGTAAGGAATACAATGCATGTCTTGGTTAAACTTATCAGAGAGGAACCTAGGGCATATGGGTTTTCTCATTCAATCCTTTATGTTATTTTTCTGTTTAACTCTAAATTCAATTTCCTTATAATTACCAATCATTCATACGAATACTATTAATATCCAATAGTCATGCAATATTAATATTCTTTTCTCTAAATTAACATCCTCAATGGTCATGCAAGACATTAATTTAAGAAAACTTTAGGAGCCTACGAACTTTTTAATTTAATAACGATTAGAAAATAAAGATTGGTTTGGTCCACCTAATCCTTTGTCTCGTTTTACCCTATAGATCTATTAATTAACTAAAGTACGATCGTCTGACGATATAATTAATTTGGATTAAAAAAGAAGCACAATAGGATAAAATCTAATCACAAAATGGAAATCAAATTTAGATTCAAACATCAAAATTTCATAAATTCATGAACAATAATTCTCATAGCCCTAACTATGGACTTAGTTACTCATGCTAAAGAAAAGAATTAAAACAATCATAAACAAAGCCATAATCAAAAGAAATAGCAAACTAGAATATGAGATGTGTTCTCGGTCTTCAAATACGGTCGCTTGAAGCTCCAAGTTTCGCCAAGCATGTGCTAAGGATCCCGTGCAAGAGAGACGAGATGACACGTGTATCTGAAAGCCAAAGACTATATGTCAAAAATAGTCTTTTTACAATGCTTGAGATCTTCCCTTTTATAGGATTTGAAAATCTTAAAAACTCTTCATAATTGGGCTTCCCGCAGATGAGCATGGTCGTACATGGGCTCGAAGCACCCCGTACTTATTGAATGAGTTTGGGCATACTAACTGCTGCGAAACTCTAATCTTCCATCAATTTGGGCCCAGAATGCACCCAAAATCCACTTGTGGCCTCTTTATACCAAACTGCACAATTAATATATAAATTAGTATAAAACTCAAATAAAATAAATGTCAAATATGAATATATGAGCTGTAAAAAAAGGCCTAATTACAGACTTATCATCTTACAACAATATGACATGACTTGCTATGAGGTAGATCATTTTGTCTTCTTCCTTCACTCATCATCCTATACCATATCTACTTAGTAATATATGTAGGTGACGTTGTCATTTCTAACAATGATAGTGTAGACATTCAGAAACTCAAACAACACTTATTCCATTATTTTCAAACAAAGAATTTAGGTTCTCTTAAATATTTCTTGGAAATTGAAGTTGCCTAATCCAACCATGGGATTTCCATTAATCAATATACTCCTTGTAATTTACTTTTTCATATGCTAATGTTTACTTGCCTACTTTTATAGGTTTTAATTTTAAGTGAAAGACTCCATTCAGTGACAGCACAGTTTGATCAGCTTAAAGCTGTACGCTTCCAGGATGCTACTAATAGAGCAATACCGTGTAGAAAACTTAACCGTGTGACTAGAAAAGATTCTGTAGAAACCTCTAAATCAGATGAATTGGAGCTCAAAGAACCTGATGAATTACACAGTGAGCCTCTAAGGGTCCAACAACTCTTGGATGATGAAACGCGTGCCCTTCAAGTGATAAAAATTGGTTCCCTTATGAGTTTGTGCAGGACTTATTCTGTCATTTTCTGTGCCATTTGTTTAATTGAAGACTTTTAGATTCTCACATGTAACCCTTTGCTATTGTTTCTTTTCTGTTAGATGGAATTGTCTAGTCTTCTAGATACAGTTCAAGAAACTGAAACTAAGATGGTGGAAATGTCTACACTAAATCACCCCATGTCTACACATGTTTTGCAACAAGCTCAGCAAATTGAGCATTTGTATGAGCAGGTTAGATAACATATATTCTTTCTCTCCTCTTTCCCTTTTTTTTTTCGTGTGTGCAAATTTTAAGGCCATTATCTGTCTATCTATATATATTAAGTTGTCTATGGATCACAGTTGACCACATATTTGGGTGAGGTAACTACTTCATATGTATCTATGTTGCCTAACCTGCCAACACTGTTAAGTAAAGCTAGGTGTGTGAAATAGACAGGAAGAACGTAGGCAGAAGGGGAAGGGAATTAAAGTAAAATAAGGAAAGGAAATAGATCATGTAGAGAGAAACAGAACAATGTACTTGCTTCATCTCAAATTCAAGGCTTAAATATGCAAAACTTAGTATTAAGAAATCTTAATAGCCATCTCACTTGATATCCCAGTAATCTGTAATCCTAAATGACTATAACCCTGAAACAATTTTATTAAATACTTCCAAGAAGTAATAACCCCAAAAAAACCTAAAAATCCCAAAATCACAATAATTGTTTATAAACCTAATAATCCTAATATCCATATTTTGTGTATTAATTCATACAGTAAGGGCATAATAATTTTTATATGGTTTGACATTGCAGTGTTTTAACTACCACACTAATTGTTTATTCTCCACTAAATGACTATAACCCAATATCTAGAAAATTTATTTTCATAGGGAAAAAGAAAAGCAGAAGGGAGAGAATTAGTTATATTGCTGAGTATTTCGGATGATATCCTAGTGTATAGTAAGGATTGGCGTACACACTTGTTACCCCTTTATCAAGTACACTAGAGGTTGAAGGAAATTTACTTTGTGACTAATAAGAAAAGTATTTATTTGGAAGACAACAGATTTAGTCTTTTGGGTATGTCATTTTGGGTGTTAGAGTAGGAATTGATCCAAACAAGGTGAAAAGTGTAGTGGAATGGGCAATTCTTCCCAATGTTAAAGGAGTAAGGGGACTTTTAAGATTGAACATAGATTATTGAAGTTCATTAAGGGATATGGGAGGTTAACCAGACCTCCAACAGAACTGACCAAGAAGGAGGGATTTGATTGGGGTTCATAAGCTTTGCAAGAGTTTGAAGAATTAAAAAGGGCTCTCACTACTAATGTTATCAATGGCGAATGACAGTTCATGGCAGAAACCAAAAAAACTACCATAAAGTTATGGTGGCTGCCATAGCGAGTTATGGCAGATATAATAAAATATATAAAAAAAATACTATAGGTCATAGAAAATGATAGAAAATAATTAACTCAAAATATATGTAGCATAAACTATAATCTAAAATATAACTCAATACAAAATATGCAATTATCAAATGTCAAATTAACAATAAAAACAAAGATGATCAATTTAATACTCTTCTTCAACTCCAACATAATCATCCTCTTTTTCATCTACCAAGGCATATCCCTCCTCCTCTTCTCCCTCAGATTGTGGAAGATTAATTTCTAATTCATCTTCTGTTTCTTCCGACATCTCCTCATCTTCTAAATCTTCATCATCTTCTTCAAGAACTATTTTCTCTTTTCCTTTGGCTGTTGAACATGCCTTGATTTTGGAAACTTTTGCAGCTTTGATAGTGATACCACTTGATAGACTCTTTCTTTTCTTAGAATGACGCTTAGTATATGTTATAGGCTCTCCAATTCCAGAAGCTTTATAAACAGTTGCCCAATTTAAAGTGTTATCACCATAAAAAACTAAGTCATTTCCAGCATCCTCATCATGAGCATCATCATCCATTTCTCTAACCAACCACTCATTACACTCATCAATGTTATTGAGTGTAATTGGATCAGTTACATCTTTAAGATTGTAACGTTCTTTGAGTTGTTGGTTATATTTCACATAAACTAAGTCATGTAATTTTTTTGTGATCAAGCCTATTCCTCTTTTTTGAATGAATCTGCAACATGAGTTTAATTAAAAGAATATTAATTAGTTTCTTTCTAATTTTTAGAAGAAAATAGTAGGCTTGATAGATAAGAAATTACTTGCTAAAAAACACTCCAGTTGCGTTTACATCCAGATGCACTACATGTCAAGCTCAAAATTTTGATAGCTAGTTGTTGCAAATGTGAAGCTGAATGTCCATACATTCTCCACCATTGAGCTATAAAATGAAAGATAAATTATAACTCTAAAGATGAATTATAACCTTAAAATTAAAAAGCTGAAGACTTTGATGAATTATCAGGAGCAATATTTTTTCTTTGTGATTTTGCAAAGTCAGACCCAAAGAGACCACCACCACTCTTATAAATTGGTAATTCAAGTAGTATGCTTTGTTGCACATCCCAACTTGGCACTAACCTCTTGATACAATCATACAACCCATTTGTAACTTCCAAATCAAATTCTATTTGGGGGGTTGTCATAAAAGAACTCTGGATTTAAAATGTGACCAGCTGCATGTAATGGACGATGAAGTTAACAAGTCCATCTATTATCAATGATTTCAAACACATCTTTGTATTTGCTTTCATTATTTTTGAATGACTTTATAATAGCTTCTTTACCTTTCTCCATTGCTTCATAAATATATCCCATGGCTGGTCTTCTTTCCCCATCAACCAAATGTAACACCCGAACAAGAGGAGTCATGATTTTCAAAGTATATACTACATTATTCCAAAATACAGGATTTAATAGAATTTTGGTTGCTTGCTTCCCTTTAACTTCTTTTGACAATTTGTTTTTACACCACTCCTCAGAAGTAAACATCTTTCTAAGATTTGCTTTTTCTTGATGAAGCCTTTCTAATGATAGAAAAGAAGTTACAAATCTAGTAACTGCATGCCTCACAAATTCCCTCTTGTTTGTAAAATTTCTCAACAAACTCAAGGTACTTGAATGACTGTAGATAAAGCCAACAACAAATATTCCCCTTTGAATTGTCTTCTTTATCAAGGGAAGCTTTTCAATATCTTCAAGCATAAGATCTATGCAATGAGTTGCACAAGGAGTCCAATAAAGATGTTGTCTTTTGCTTCCAACATCTTACCAGCCAAGACATAATTGCTTCCATTATCGGTTATCACTTGCACAATTTTATCTTCTCCAATCTCCTCCACAAGAGCCTCAAGCATCTCAAATAATTTTTCACTAGTCTTCACAAAATTAGGTCCATCAATGGACCTCATAAACATAGACTCAGCAGGAGAATTGACCAAGAAATTAATCAAACATCTTTGCTTTTGATCTGTCCATGCATCTGACATGATAGAACAACCATGTTTGCTCCATTGCTCTTTATGATCTTTCATCAAAGAATCAGTATATTCTAACTCTTTCTTAAGAAGTGGAACTCGAATATCATGATAACTTGGAGCGGATAAATTTGGACCGAAGGCACCAACAAATGTGAGCATTTCTTAAAAGCTCTTTAGTTTAACAAGGTTAAAGGAAAGGTCAGCTTGATACCAAAATTGAGCCATGTATTGATGGACCCTTGCCTTAGCTTCTTTGTCACATCGTTCTATTAATTTGTTTGTCTCAATTTTTCCTTTTTTCTTTTCTCAATTGCACTTTTAGGCTTTCTACAAAACAAGTCCATTGGCCCTTTCTAATTTCCAATGGCAACACTACGGGTTTGGGTATCCTCTTCATCCTCACTTACATCATAGTTTATACCTTCAAAGCTTCTCACATTTGGCATCTCAAAATTATTTTGATTCTTTTTTTCCTTTTGATATGTCTCAATCTCTTTTCTAACTTCTTCTGGACACTTGGAACAAGTTTTCACGTTACTCTTCTTTCCAATTAAATGTTGTTTCACTCTAGTGATTCCAGCACTCATAACTTTTCTACAAAAGTTACGTACAATGTTGTTTGTATCTTCATCTTTCACCGAATGAGCATATTTCCATCCCGAGTCAGAACAATTAGAAGTTCTTGAACAATTTGATGAAGACTCATGTTGAGCCATGTTAAGAGTAGCTGAAATAAATAGAATTTTTTTATAGGAAAATCAGAGAAAAATAGAGATGTGGGAAAGGTAGAAATTGAAAGATGGAAAGGGTAAAATTTAAATGGGGGAAATAAAGAAAAAAATGAGAGGAAAAATGACAAAAAATAGCTACCAGAAAAATGGAGTCGCCGGAGATGGAGGTGCAGTTGCCGGAAATGGAGGTTGGAATTGCCGAAGATGGTGCAGTTGCCAGAGATGCAGCTGCAGTCGCCGGAAATAGAGACCGAAATGCACCAAAACAGAAACACAAAAAGCCCAAGACAAAATGAGATCTTAGCAGAGTGATCTCAGAGAAAGCAGTCATAGAGAGAGAGAAGCGGTTGCAGAGAGATCTCAAAAGCAGTCACATGGAGAGAGAGATGGAGGGCAGAGAGAAAAGAGATGATGATCAGAGTGGCGAGTGAGATTGCAGAGAGAGTGCAATTGCAAAGAGAGGGAGAGTGAGATCGTAAGGAGAAGAGAGAGAAAAAACCTGGATTTAGGCAATTGGGTTCTGAACTGGGTCAGGTTGGATTTGGCCTAAAAGTGCAGAAAATACATTTTTTTTTTTTTAAAATTCCATTTATCACAATTTCTGCCAAGGCCGGGTATTACTGCCATGCTCGTAATGGGTGCCATGGCGCCGCCACGTCATTCCGCCACGCCACGCTATCTTCGTAACGGCGACTGTCATTTCCGCCACCCCAAACCGCCATGGCGCCGCCATAACCAAAATTTGACAACACTGCTCACTACTACCCTTTCAGAATAAGTGTGATGCTTCAGAGAACGGGGTAGGAGCTGTTAATTCAAGGAAGCGAGCCAATCACTTTTTTTAGTTAAGCTTTGACTAATAGTAGCTTGTCCAAATCAGTGTATGAAAAGGAAATAATAGCTCTTGTGTCAACGGTGTAGCATTGTAAAGACTATCTTATAGGACAGAGCTCTCTGTGGTTTTCACAAACCAAAAAAGTCTTAAACACTTGTTACAAAACAACAATGTTGGGTCTAAAAACTCTTTGGCTTCCAATTTGAGGTGATTTATAAATCGAGACCGAAAAATAAGATAGCAAACTCTCTTGAATTTATGAGGAGAGAGATTTTGAGACACTGGTTTCTTTTCTTATTTGGGACAAAGGGAAAGAAATATGACTAGTAAGAGACAAAATCTAATTAGTAGTTAAACATATAAATTATATAGTAAAGTAAACAAGTTTCACTGAGCCAAATTGCTTGACAGGCTTTAGGCTTAAAATAAGTTCTATTTATGCATTAATGTGAGTAAGCATTAACGTATACAAAAGATAAAAAAACTAAACAGTGTATAAAATCTAACTTTTAACTGATTTATTGGAACCACTCTGAATGGAAGTAAAACGAGAAAACCAGCATCAATCAATGATAATAACACAAGCAGTCAAGTTATAAATTATTACCATTAGCCATAACCCGCCATGGCGGCCGCTATAACTTTATGGCACTTATTTAGGTTTCCACCATGACGCGCCATCCACCATTGATAACATTGCAGGCTTAAAATAAGTTCTATTTATGCATTAATGCGAGTGAGCATTAATGTATACAACAAATAAAAAACCAAACAGTATATAAAATTCAACTTTTGACTAATTTAGTAGAACCACTCTGAATGGAAGTAAAATGTGAAAACTAGTACGATTCAGTGATAATAACACAAGCAGTCAAGGCATAAATTATTACCCAACTAACAAGAACCATAATTAATCTAGTAACATGTTAGTCATGGTAGTAAGTACCACATGAAAACGCAATACGAATCTGTAAAACAGGGATACAAATCGCAGGATGAATCGTTTTGCATCCAAAATCAGGTCGCCAATTCCAAGAATCGCTGTTGAACTGCAATTCACCGTGGCGATGCACAATTCAAGTGCAAAATGGGTCGAGTCAACACGACCCAATTAAGTAAAAAATTCGTAATAAACTTTTTTTGTGTGTACAGAAATACCGATTTCTACATAATATTGCCTCTCCCGGTCAACCCACTCTTT